AAATTCCAATGTATCCAAGTTTTGATATGTGGCAATTATTAAGGAATTGTAAAGAGCTTACAACGATAGATCGCCTACAATTCCGTATAGTCGGTATATCATCGGTGTTTACTGGTGGGAACTCCACGATGCGTCTAACTGTCGGGTGACTCATTTCAGGCGGCGGTCTGGCGCGTCCGAAGATGACTCTGAATCTGGATGCCAGTAGTATTGCAGCGGGAATGAGTGGAAATTCAGGCGGTCAATTGATGCCGAAAAAACCTGGTGGCCTAAGCCTCGGCTTACCGCTGGAAATCAGCACCGCTCGAATATCAGCTGATCTGGTTGACGTCGAGCTTCCATTGGAGAGACAAGGGTAAGTGTTTCGCCGCCTTTTGCTGTGCTACTTCATTTTTGAAATACTTTCGAAATACTTTATTTTTGTATGGGTTTTAGTCAACATGGTATTACCGCTAATGTACGAACGATTTTTTAACGAATACCGCTGAATGAGCGTGTTAACATTTTCAACGTTACTCTCATTTGTGCACTTGTACTTATTTTAAATTATTTTTAAATTTTGCATAAGTACGTTTCGCAATGTTTTCCGCAAAAAAACGATTTTGCTGAAGTATTTAAAAATGTTGCTAGACGTAGATCTGAAAATAATTTTGTTAATCCTTCAAAATAATTGTATAGAAATCTCAAACATGATATGAGTAATGCTGTAAAAAATTTTGCACTTGAAAAGTTTTGACATTCTAACAACCAATGTGACTGTCCTATGATTATTTTGATGGTCGAAAAAACTATTTTCAGATCTGTATCTATAAATATCTAAATTTTAGTAGAACCGTTCTTTCCTATTATGCAATATTAAAACTTCATGGATTAATGCACGTTATTTGAAGAGAGATTTTTTTATTTAGATGGTATCACGGCTCTATCACACGCATCGAGGCAGAGGGTCTTCTGCGAGTTCATCAAGAAGGAAGCTATCTAGTGAGGAACAGCGAGTCGACCAAACAAGATTATTCTCTATCCCTGAAGTAAGTAATACTTAAATAAATATTTGTTCATATATTCGACAATTCAAACAAATATTCATTGAACATTTCGGATTCTTCCAAGTGTTATAACTCACGTAATTACGCCGTTGTAATTGTTTTAGGAGCGCCCGCGGTTTCATGCACATGCGCATCCAGAAGAACGAAGAGCTGAACGCATACATTCTGGGACAGTTTAGCAAACCGTTCGAAAACATACCGGAAATGGTCCGTCATTTCAGCGTGAATCGTCTTCCGATACGCGGTGCCGAGCACATGTGTCTCCTGCATCCGGTCATAGTTCAGCTTTTGTAGCGCATCTATCGTAGCGCCATTTAAGGCGCTGTGATTTTGATAATCTGTTTTCTTTTTTTTTCCCGACGAGTGCCGAAGCGCGCGATTGCAATGAACGGTAAGCTTGATATAGTGAACGAGATGTAGGAAATATTATTCTCAAACAAGGGAGTCTTCCGAGAGTCCGCGAGACGTGGTTGACCCATGAGATCCTCCGTATCAATTCGCATTCTGGTTGAATGAACCGTTCCGCACGAAGAGCGGCAGAGATAATGGACAATAATAGCATCGACGGGGAATACCGCTTCGTCGCGAAATGTTAGGGGAAGTACAGTACAAAAGTATAAACGATGACAGTGAGCGAAGCTGTTCAACGATACACGGTGCGATCGATCAGACGAGAACGTCCAGGTCCGTGCAATTTGTTGCGAGAGGCCAGTGTTAAACTATGTATGAGGAATCTCAGGTCGCTCCAAGTGAGGATACTTGCTCACAAATGTTATCTTTTTGACAACACTTTACTTTCGCATGTCTAATCCAAGTTTATAGTCCAAGTTTTTATTGCACAATAAAATTAGAGTCAGTAGGAGCGATGAATGCTTATGCCTCCTCCTTTGCCTCTCGGACTCGAAAGCGTAAAGATTGGTGTCCTACATGCTTCGTCTTCCTCAAAAACATCGCGCAAACCTACCTCATAAGCAAACGCATGCATCGCGGCACGATGGAGAAACGTATCAGAAATTGCGATATTAGAAATTGCGGGAGTCTGGGGAACGAAATTACTTGAAACAGATACGAATTATCGTTTGATGCAGTGGTGACCGTTGATAACTCTCATGAAGGCTATAATGAATTCGGGATCGATTCTAGCAGAAGTACGCGAAAACGTTCTTGACGTTTTTCCCGACAATTGTTCCTCGAATTCGCGACTACGCGGATTCTATGAAAGAAACCTTTCAAATGGGATCAGAAATGCTGCTTTACGAAACGGTATAATTTAAGTAAGAAGGAAAAGTGCGATGCGCGTATTTATATTCACATAGTGTGCCGCGTAGAAGCAGCTCGACGTTGAAGCCAAAATAAAACTAATCCTAATATCCAGTCGAAAAACGTAACGCAGAACTGTAGGCTGGATACGCGCAGCAAGCGCGAATGAAATGCCAAACTTTACTTCTAATCGTAATCATTTAGTCAGGGTTTAGTTGTCCGTCTCATTGTTGATAAGTGATTAATTAGGCTTAGAACTAAGCAAGCGTATGACAGTCAGTTGATTCGGTTATGAATCTTGGGTAAGGCGAAGAAATTGCGAGTCGAAGAAAATAATAACGAGTGTTTTGTTCGCAAAACGACGTGAGTGGCGGTATTGGCTACGTTTACACCGTGCGCTTAGTCCGCGACCTATACGATAAGTGTCTTTGTTTAACCTACAGGATAAATGGCTACGATTATATCGTGCGCTTAGTCCGCGACCTATACGATAGGCCCTTGTTTAACCTAAAGATTAAACAAAAACGCCTATCGTATAGGTCGCAGACTAAGCGTACGGTGTAAACTAGGTCATTGTCTCCTTCGGAAACGTGAGGAAAGTGGAAAAAGATGATAGTGATCGGACAGTCTGAATCATCGATGGCTCGTCATCCGAGTCATCCGTCCGAGAGTCCACGAGGACACTCGCGGAAGATTTTTGCGATAGGATACAACCGATACATATTTTTTCATGTGATATTAATTTGTTACAGAGATAGCCTAGTTTCACCTGTGATCTGTTACTTAATTCCCCTTGTCCGCGTGCGTATCGGCGCTGTCGCGCGAGCGCGCGCGATAACGATAATAAAATAATTAAACTTGCTATTATTATTACGTAGAATCAGCAACGACGCGTCACTCAGACGCGATGATGAGACGTCCGTGGTGTTACAATAATTTTTCAAATTAGAAATTCGATTCGCAGAGGTTGTGAACGAATTTTCATTGGCCGCGCAAACAAAAGAAATTTTGCTTAATATTAAATAGTGACGTAGGGAACCTACGATGAGAAGTAGCAAGTGCCAGTTGCATCGTGTTGTAAAAATTAATCGATGGTCTCGTTTGATTTAATTGCATGTTTAATCCGTGTATACGAAGCAAAGCATTAATTCCTTTATCAAAGCTGATGTTTAAATTCGCGAAACACTTGAATTGTGAACGAGGCACTCTCTACTTTCGCATCTAATTAGGTTGAGTGTAATTCATACGTCGTATTTTAAGCTGCCAGTATTATTAACTGTAATCGATAATGCATATCCATATATGTTAATGTTTAAGACATTATATTATCTCTATAGCCCGATCATCGACACTATAATCTATACATATTTATTTCTTCTATTATATTTATTACATTGAATATGGTGATGAAATTTCCGTGCGTTAATTTAATCGCGAATTCATAGAGCTGTAACCTTTAGTGATTCTATATTCCGTACACGTAGAATAATACTATTTATCGAAAGGCAGTACGTAAATTGTATGGTAGACACTAACTTGTAGATACTTCCTGTACCTTGAAATTTGTATGAAGTAGTACTTAGATTACGTAATACATAAATATATATTATTATAAATGATTATACTAGCGCGCATAGCTCTCGTTTGTAGGATACGTAAAATAAGATCGAGCAAAAACGGAATGAGTTCAATAAAATATCTTGAACCCTATGTACGCCCTTTACGTAAAAAGGGATCTCGGACGGCGATGTGCAATATTCTGACACGGTCTCGTACGGCTGTAAACGTGAAGTGCGATCTAATATTTTTGTTTTAGCAAGCAGACCACCGATATTCCAAATCGACTTCACTAGGTAGTCTTGTGTACTCTGAAAATTTCTCTTAATAATAAAATAATTAATAACTCCAGTTTAATTATGATTTTAGTCGGAGTTTCGCCATCTTTTCATTTAAATAATTCAAGAAAATCGTCTTACAGAATAAAGAATAAAAAATTTTGTATGAAAGATTTTACAAGGTTGTATAAGGAGATATAAAACATATATCAAAGAAGTATAAAAATATTAATATTAATTGAATTATATTGTATAAATTTTCTTTGTACTCTACGTATATTTTATTTTATTTATTCTATTTCTTTATATCTTCTTAGTTTCGTATACGGTAGTTTCATTCTCAGATTCAGTTGGAATAAATGGTGGGCGGTTATTTTCCTGTGAAGATGTCACTTGGTCCGCTTCTGTCTGTGTGTCAAATCAAACATGTAATATATTTAAATATATTGCAATATATGGAAAATTGCATGAAGAGCTTAAATTCTTAATTTTTTAAACATTCAATACTAATGAAACGGGTATAATATACTGATTTTTCTCCCGGTTTTGATATTATCGATTCGATTTTTTCCCTTAAATTTCGCTTTTCTGTAATTCACGGCGAGAGTACGAAAAGTGTATAGATCACGTAATAACAACAATAATTACAATAATTACATAATGTATTTGAACATATTTAATTTTTAATATATGTAAACATATTTAATTCAACGTTTTTAATATATTTAACAAATATATTGAATTCAATTTAATTATGCAATAATCTTTATCAAATACCTCTGTAAACTCTCTAAACGCGATGTGTTATTTACTCACGATTTCCAGCGCTATTCCGTCGAAATGGCACAGGTTTACGGGACCCTGTCGAACATTCCTGAGAGAATTGTGAGAGTGAATAATATACTTTGCCAGTGAAATGAATATGTGAATTACTTATGATGACTAGTTCATGTTGACATTCACCGAGAGTACAGTTTCCTCGCCAATCTGAGTTTCCCAACAAGCTGGACCGCAGATATCCGATTTATCCGGCATGAGCCGACTGCGATACATTTGACCGTCTTTTCCCCTTATCAAACCGTCCGTCAATTGTATCGTCTCAGGTCCCCATTGAGTAAGAAAATGTCCCGTCCGCATGACTCTTTGCTGAGGAGTCGTGACGGTGTGGCTCCCACCGCAGTATCGATTGCAGAGATGATCTCTAATACATCAGACTTATCAAACTTAAGATAATAATATTTATCATTGAGCTATTTAAAAACTCTGGAAGCCGTTAAGTCTATAATTGTAATTTTGAAAGATTCATGCTTCAAATATTAATATTCATTAATATTAATTAATATCAGCTTGTAATATTTATTCTTCAAGATGTAATATTTTCTCGAGATTCGGAGATGACATAAAATATTGTAAAATCGGTTACCTAGGACTCCTCGCAAGCATCTCCTCCTTCGCTTTCATCTTCTTTGTCTCCTCTTGCATTGCTGCCTCAAATTGGATCAAATTTCTGCTGTGAGGCAATCTTCTCTGTTGTTTTCTGACTTGATCCAATTCATACGTGAGATATGGTTTCATGCTGATAGTGCAAGGAAATGGCTCGGCTCGAAATCTACCGACCTCTTCTATCTTCATTACAACATCCTTGTCGCACGATATACATTGAACATCTCTGGATAAAAGAGAAAGAAGTCAACATCGCGTTGAAGTTTTATTTGCAAGCCTAAAATGTTTACTTAAGCAGCTTCTTTGTTCCTGCTGCCTCTATTTCTTGTCTTGCTTCAATCATAATCTTCAATTTTTCTTGAAGCGACTTTAATTTGTCATTCACAAAATCCTTCAGCGGCATCATCTCGACTTTATCCATCTTGGTCGCGATTTCATTCTGCACTTCATCAAGCGCTTGTTGCCAAATCGATTCTTGCTTTGTCAATTTGTCGATTGCTTTCTCGAGCCCACGCGCGAGATCATCGCAAGCAGCATCAAATTGATCATGTGATACCTACAATAGTTTTTATAATATTTCAATCTGCATTAATAACAAATAGATTAGCAGACTTGGCAATTCTTTATACTTTTCTGTTCACAGTTTGAGTATCCGCTTTGTCAGCCAAAGCATCTTCGATATCCTCTTTATTTGCTTTAACGGTTTTTAAAACTTCAATTTGTTCCAGTAGCGTCTGTTAACATTATTATAAATCATAATAAATAAGACAGCTTAAATAAATAGTGAAAATACAAGGCAGCTGCTCTTACATAAGATTTAAATATTATTTAACGCAAAAAATAAGCAATACTTTAATTAATCTTATATCATTATTAAAAGCTCGTACGTTAATATGAGCTTCTTTTTTTTCTTTATCCTCGAGTAATTTGCTCATTGTTTGTCCGATTTTCTCCATATCCATATCAATTTCTTGCACTTTTGTGATAAGATTCTTAATCTCGGTGTTATCTGTCTTGTCAACTTCTTGTATACTATCTACTTTTTCTGACAAATGTCTAAATTCTGACTCCAATACAACCACGCGTTGGGTAACATCGTTCAAGACCTCGCCGTGAGTTGTTTCTATGTTTTTCACAGCTTCCAAGCATTGCTCCAAGTTTGTAACATCAGTCACTTCGGCTATTTTTTCCTTATCTTTAGTCAGTTCTCTAACAACAGATTCAATTTCTTGTACCGACGGTGGCTTTTCTTCTACTAATGGCACACAAACAATCATTGTTGGCATTTTAGTTCTCACATTCAAATATAACGTATATATACAAGGTATTTCATTTTAAGTGATATGATCGATTATCTCGCGAATCGATGATTTTATTGAAAAATTTTTCGAACGAAAGTTGCATAGCTTGAAGGGGGACACATGATGAAAATGTGAATTTGACCTCGAGTAACCTTGTTAAAATCAGATCATTAATGTTTTTTTTTAAACAGAAACCTCTATTTTTTATTACATATTTTTATAGCTTATCTCGAGAGCTTTCCAAAATACAATAAAATCATTGATTCGCGAGATAATCGATCATATCACTTAAAATGAAACACCCTATATATATATATATATAATAAAATAAATGTAAATATTAATTGTCAACACACGTGCAACTCTTTCGTTAAGATCTTGCAGTTCCTGTTGTATACGAGTTACGTCCGTTTTTAACGCAGTAACATCTTGGCGTATTTCTTCTATAACAGTGTCATCTAAATATATTTCCTAATTAATAAGTATTTCTAATATGTTAAAAAAATAGCGACTATATTACAAATTTATAAACGTAACAATGCCCTTGACATTAGGCTAATTTTTATACGCGAAATCATTAAACTTATTACTCATAAGTCCTACTCGAGCAGCGAGCTTCTCAGGTGTTACTCTACGTATTTTATTAGCTACTTCTTTCGCATTTTCTTCTTTTTCACGATATGGTACAATCACATCTTTGGTTTCTACTGGTTCTGCGGCTGCTGCTACTTCTGCTTCTTCTTTTTCTTCCATTGCTGTTATACCAGCGGTTGGTGCGGCTACATCTTCGGCTAACATATCGGTAATTGTTTGCAAATTGGTAAGCCATTGTTCCATTTTGGAGACCTTATCTTCGAGTTCATCCAATCTTGTATTAACCAAAGATATGTCTGCTGTTACTACGCCAGCATCACCTTTGATCACATCTTGTACCATCGCTGTAAGCTGTAATAATAATTTAATAAATTAATAAAATAAAGTTTAACTATTTTAATATTTTCAGAATTAACTTTTATTTATTTTTATTAAATTATTAGAGGTACAGAGGAACGTAAATATCATACGCGAGATGTTTACGAAATTAACAAACAGTATACCTTATCGATACCTTGTTCATTAGCGTCCAATCTTTTATTGATGTTAATAAATTGCCATATATCTGCGGCAGGATCTGCGATTCTATCCTTTAAACGTTCAATTTCCGGAGATGTAGACAAGTCTTCCAAAGCTTGATACTGATCTTGTAACTGCTTTACCTATTGATTAAATTATTAATGAATGAATTATATTGCTATTGCATATAATATGAATTCTAAAAGTAATTTGTTCTACGTACAGATTGTTCGAGCTCTTTAAATTGTGATACCGTGAGAGGAGAACCATTCACGACAGATACAACCATCTGAGCTTCGGGGACTTTTTCAAACTTTATTTGTGGACTTATATCTTCCGTCACTCTCAAAATTGTTTCTGCAGGCACTTGAATATCTGAATCAAATCAATCTATTTTATTATAATTTCTAATTAATTAAATAACTATAGCAATTCAAAACAGGAATCATGAGTATGTACCTTCTATAAGTACATCAGCGTCTTCACCATCGTCTCTTCGAACTCGCGTTACTTTTGGTCTCGGCTTCATAGATGTTACCATCTTCTGCAATAGCTCTCATATAAGGAAAAGAATTACCACTTTTCTTTTTTCAATTACTTGACGTATTATTTTTCTTACTTTAATACGATCTGCGTTTTCACCATGAAATTCAACTGTGGTAGCTTGCAAATTTATTTGATGCAACAAGATATGGAGGAAATTATGAAGAATATTAAAATTAACCGCACCAACCTAAAATCAATAATTTTATTAATTGCTTTATCTACAAGACGATGATGGATAATGAATAGTTTTACTATTGTTTTACTTCTGGTGCTCCGAGAGCAAGATCGAGCATTTGAAGAAGAGAAATTTGCAAACTGGCATTGTTGTTAGCTGCTGTTGGCATGTTAAATGCTTCTGGCATTTGGGCAGTTATCGCAGCCATTTTAAATGCGAATGACCGATTTTTTAGGAGAATTACATGAGGATCACATCAATTACATTTAACTTCTTGTTTGTCAAACACAAGCGCGGTTATTGTGAAAAAATATTGATTGAATTGTCAATTTTGAAAATTAGTTGCTCTTGTTCCTGTATTCATCCCTTATCCGATAGAATAAGGGAAGTGAAGTTATGTCTGTATCTTCATAGTTGGCGCCACAAATGTCACCGACAAGTAGCGTGCTCTTATGGAAAATATTTGTATTACTCATACTTTTTTTTATTCATTAAAAGTTTGAAAGAATCAACGAATATGTTTATTATTCTTTTACGCGTCTTCTATGCAAATAAAATAATACGTTTAATATATAATTAAAAAGTATAATTTTCTTTATGTTGTGTTTAAGAATAAATATTCAAACAGTGTTATTTAATTATATATTATTAATTTTAATATTAGTATACCGCGAAAGTGTCGTTTTTTCAAGAGATATTTATAGAGGAAAAAACGACACGAACTTTCTACGGTACCTAAAATACATTTTTTAGATATTTTAAATGTACATATACAATAATTTGAAATTGTGTATGCACAACATCACTATCAAACAAATAATTCTCTGAATTATTTGTAATTCTCTGAATAACACATATTTTATATAAAAACATTGTAGAATAATAAATAAAATACAGTATGCAATCTAGGTATGTTTTTAATCTCCGTTGTTGATCAAATATCATCGATACGACGGGTTAATGAAACAGTAATTCACCGCGCGTCGTTTCTCTACAAACAGGCTCGGTTTATCTAACTGCACGTGGCCGATAGACCAAAACGTGAAATAGAATCAAGCTAGGCTATACTACCGCAGAGATTACATCGAATAGTATATATATATATATTTTATCGAGTACCCAGATATGATATTCTCGAACGTTTCCGTTAGACTGATACGATCAACGTCAACTCGATAGTGTATTTATACGCTCGTATATCTATCCTCCGACGATGATGAATCCTCCCGTATCACGGGAATAAATTAAAATTGTCGTACAATTCCTAACCGACTTATACACGAACTAAAATAGAAACAACGGGAATAAGCCATACCAGATTCGAAACGTCCGAAAAATTCAAAAACTAATTAAATAGCCTTCTACTTTTGACTATAAATATCTCTCTATCCCAAAGAGTTTTTTTGCAATATCTATATAAAAGTAATCTAGCTAAGTTAGATTTTTTTCTGTCATACAAGCGAGAACAAATTGGAAAAATCTATTTCTAAAGAGAGATCTATTTCCATTTCACGTTTATTTATCGAGACTTGATGAAATATGAAAAAGATTCCGTATATTTTAAGTATCGTTTGATCGTTTCTCACGTGAATGATTCAACAACAGTCGTACATATAGCTACATATAGCTGTGTTCTCGAATTACTTATGATAAAGCCAGCATTGGTGCTGTTTGAGTTACGTTATTTGATCTCCTAGCGAATGTTTAATCGTGAATAATGTCAGCATTCTTGATGGGTGATATCTAGCTGGACATCTCGGTATTCAATAGCACAACGGTAACGTCATCCTGATTTGCTCATCTGTCAGGTGAGTGACAGTTCCTTTCTATCTTCTTCCGCGATTTCCCCGACCATCTCGTCAGTGCGAAAACGATCGCAGCTCTGAAATGATGTATACGTCCAAGGAAAGGTACGCTGTGGTGACGGTGAGTGTGAACGATTCAATTTTAAGACATCATTTTACATCCAACGTTATTAATCTGTTACATCCTTCTCAAATATTGACGTCTCTATCGTTTGCCTGTCCGTGGCAGATTTAATTTCGACTTTCATTCTCTGTGTAACTAGTCTCTATCTATTGTCCGTTTCAATGTAGATTAGCTTTACTCAATGTAGTTTAACTTATTTTTTATCTTTTTTTCTAGTTTTATGAATTAAAAAAGAATAAAGAGTAAATTAAATCGAGATTAAAGTTAATCTACATTGATAGAGATGCATATAAATCAATCTTTTGCAATATCTTATTTGTATGTATTCGGCGTAAGAGAGAAGCTCATTTCCAGAGTCCGATTCAATTGCAACCCACGATCATTTCGACACAAAAGATACTTGAGGACATGCGTGCTTTTAAAATGCATCAAATAACAATTTTATAGACAATATCATAAATTGAAATTAGTCTGATAAGAATAAATCAATTATTGAAAATAATCCTATTTTTCAAAAGCAGTCAAAGCGGGTCTTAGTGCTAGTCTTAATAATACTAAATGCAAATTTTTGCAAATGTATTATTTTAGTTTTATAAACAGCCGCCGATATATACGGTTTGTCCGATTTGAAACGCAATCGCAAACTGAAGCTGAAATTAATATCCCAAGTTAGATTGATTGTTTATTAAATAGTGATGTAAATAAACAACCTATTATTACAAAAAATATTACTTCAGCTACAGAGTAAATCTGGAACTCCCGACTTTCTTGGACGGACGTCATACCAACTCGATCACTAAGACATGTGGAAATACTTATCGTCAAACTGTATAATATATTTACAAAAGTTTGCATTTAGTATTATTAAACACTAAAATCCGTTTTGACTGAAAATAGGATTAGTTCTATTAATTGAATAATTTCATAACCCTGAAGGAAAATGGTATACAAGCTTGAACGAATATCAATGTACCATGTTATAAATATTCATTATTCGCCTTGCAAACATCTATGGTGTCATAACATGAATCTTCTTTCAGTTTCTTCTGTTTACTCTGAGTCGTGGCATTCCATTCGGACAACGGTACACTCCCGTGATACCACCACTTTCGTGGCATCTCGTGCCACCCTGGGAATACATGCTACGCGAGATTATCCTCAAATCGGTCGGTCCGTCGCCACTGGATACCAATGCACCCCACAAGCGTCCATTGGATGCTTCCTACTACGGCGGGCCGGTCGCCGTTTACTCGGACGACGACAAGAATGTCATTCTATCGCGTGGAAACGTTTATCATTTGCTAAATGGCCACTGGATACTATGTCAGGACGGATGCGTCGACTGCGAGCCATGCGCAGTTCAGAGGAATCCCATATTCACGTGGATTCTGCGGAGGATTAAGCAACCACCAAATTCCATCTCGACGCGACATGATCTCCAGTTGACGATAATGCCGCAAACGAGCAATCATTTCCACGCCAGTAATCTCTGGCCGAATTACTACGTTTACGTGACACCACAGGGGGAACCTACGTCAATCACGACGATTGGAACGCAGCACGTCAGTGACTCGAAAAATCCCCCGCCTGGTCTTGAAAACAGTTTTTCCGAGCATCATCGATCAATGAATTCCTGGCGGTTGACAGAACGAGATTCAAGCGCCAATCGGGACACGGTACCACAAGAGGATAACCACGCTACTGTTCAGGAGACTGTAAGCATTGAAAAGATCGAGAAAGAGAAATCATCCGAGAGGAAGCAGGGACTCGAGAGTATGAGACCTCGACATCGACCTCGGCCGAGACCCGTGGAAAAACTAGCGGAAGAAGTGAATCAATTGGCACCGAGATTGATCCTAGGGACCGATCAAAAAGGTCAGAAGCATTTGGTTCACGTAGTGCCGGCGAATTATCCGACGACTACTGCGCTTTCTACAATTTCTCTTCCTTCAGATCACTCAATATCGCCACAGTTCGTGGAGGATCAAGAGACACACTCAAATAATACGATGTCTAAAGACGAGAGACAAACTTATCAACGAATATTTCGCAGAGTTTTTGATTCCTTAAACACGCACAGGCAATCAATCGAAAATTTTCTTGAGTCATCGACGGACAATATAGATGAGCATCGACTATCTCCCTCGATAAATAATATGGAAGCCGCTGGATTTTCTTGGAATAATCGCGATGTAAATCATAAAAATGCTGATTTTGATCTTAATGACGCGTTATTGTCGCCTTTTTATGCAGGAAATGAAGATAAAACTGGAAAGTATCAGCGATATAGAAACAGATATAATAATGAACATATTAAACAAAACAATGATTATTACGTGACATCTCCAGATATGAATCAAGCTAAAATATCGCGTAGCCAATTACAAACGGGTTTTAATTTTGACATTGATAGACAACGGCGAAGAGTACGTATCAAACCATACTTTGTTAATAGTAAAGATATTTCAAGAATAAATTCATCAGTATCATTACAAAGTTTGGACAATAATTTAGTAAATGCTACTCAGGAATCTGGTTTTAGTAATGGCTTTGCTGACAATTCCGCAAAACAAATTGATCTTAATGACACGTTTGTTGAGAAAGCAAATGACAATTCTATGGAGTCAAGTTTGATAACAAAACAGGAGAACGGACAATTGTTCAGCTCAGAAAGACCGGGAAGTGGCGATGTTAATCGAGAATTCAAGATTTCGCACGCTTTCAAGGTAATTACTACCAAGTCGCCGGTAATTCGAAGCAAAACTTTAAATCGCACTACAGTATTATAAGTAACTACTTCGAAGACATTTGTTAATAGTAATCAACAACTTAGAAAAAAAGACTAATAGACGAACAGAAAGATCAATATCGACAAAAATGGAAGTTACATACATATAATTAAAATAATTGCTCACATATACTTACGATACACACAATGATTTTTCTTTATTACATGCGATGGATCGTTTGTGTCTAAGTTAATTTTCATCAATTTTCTAAATGTACAACAATTATTAAGCGATTCTTGCATATGTACTTTAACATTTTCAGAAAGTTAGGTAAGGTTGTGTATTAAAAAAAAAAAGGAAAAAATAGAGACCATTATTAGTGAGATGTTTTTAGCATTTCAAAGAAAAATGACACAAATGACCCAATCGTGTATATCAACAAGAGTTAATAATACGTTTATATAATTGTAAAGGGATTTGCACGCTTTACTTATAATATATGCAGTAATTAAAATATATCACGTTTACAGTTTTTCATAAATAAAAATACTTAAAATTATTAAAAATTAAAACACTTTTTTACTTCAACCTAATTTAATTTTAAGGATAAGTACGACCATGTAAATGCTGTACATAAATATAAAGACCATCAATAATCGGTCACAATTCGATGTTAGGAATATAATACATATTCCTAATTT